AACTCTCACACAACTCGTTAAAAATTATACTTTACGCGATAGATATATAGTATAAAATACAATATTATACTTAAATCTACGGTTAGGAAAACGTTTTTCTMAGCAAACAGAAAAATGCAGCGTGTCCGTTTCCCGGGTATAGACAGTTAGTTACTCGTTTTATAATTTCGAGATATAATATATTATGTTATTTTAAAATATATAATGCGTCCATTTAACACACGTTTGCGCAATATCAAGCTCACCGGCCGCGTGACCAAAATATAATATATCAACATCGTTTGGTATCGATTTTAAAATTGTAAACGTTCGCGTCACACCGCGGGTACCTCTATATATATTATTACAATACACAAACGTGGGTACAACGTAATGATATTTACCGGTAGATTTGTATAAAAGGATGATGTATATAAACTTCTACATACTCGTTACCTATATACACTATCTGGCGACAATGCCAACGTATAATGATGGTTATTTTTTTCGGTCGCGCTACCGATGTACGATCCACACCGTTTAMCTTGTTTTGGCCGCCGGCCTGGAGATCCGAGTAAATACGATATTGGTATACGACCGGCTACCTATATAATATTATAATATATTACATCGCATCGATATGATCCTGCAACTGCAGGGTGCAGTAGCATGGTTATTGACCGCTTTGGACTACCTATATAATGTATATAAGTAGGACGAACGACGATGATTATGGTGATAACAATAATAAAAATTTACAATAATACATATTATTATTAATAACGATCGAGAAACTTCCATTAATCACTTACGCATAACCATTATTACATAATAATATAATGTTGTGAGGGGCACAAAGCATTGCGTGCCACTATTGTCATCGTGTATCTCAGCAGCAGCTACTGCAGATCGTCGAAAAAATCTTAATGATGGATTTCACGGCATTATATAGTTATTGGCTTCCGGAATACATCATTAAGCCCCCGTGCAACGACGCACGCTATTATAAAAATAACATCGGTGGCATTTCTYGAGACTTCGGTCGGTGGCGAGCCGAGGACATGTATATATATCGTATATTTTCTCAACTACGTCCCGCTGTTTCGAAATTGTATCATAAACATATATCATTCGGCAATGGACTACTGCATTGTTGCCGCACTGCCAAAAACCATGTTCAAATATTTTACTTGGGATATTTTTCTTTTTTTCCTAAGGCAGGGGGTGATCTTACGCAATATAAATTGTTTCTTTTGACGTCGCATGGTGTGGCCAGAT